GCCTGTGGAGACCAGTGGGGCTGGGGTTTTGTGCGGGATCCAGTGCCCCGGTTGCTGAAGGGCGTCTCGGCGCGGCGGGCCTAGAGATGGCGAGTGGCTTTGGCCTGCCTTGATATGTTTATTTACTGGTTTAATTTCCTTTCGAGGCTGTTTTCTAGATGGTGAGGTTTCAGCACTGTCTGCTTTCTGTCTGTAATGAATAGAAACTTTTCACCTAAAGAAAACCCGGCAACAGCAAAGAGAACATTAATGGAGCTTTTCCTATCATCTCTCATTTGTAAGATGTGGGACTTTGTGGGAGATGTGGGACTCGCAACCATGTTGTGAGAGCTTGTTTTATTTACTGCTGTCGCTGTTTCCTACGCTGCCTTTACTTTCCAGGCAGTTGAGGTCTGCGCTCACATTTTCAGCATTGTTCATCCAGCTATCGCAGTATTGCATTTTGACTGGAGCTACCCTGCGCAGTTGGATTAGTAAGGACTGGGTGATCAGATTAAGTGTTTGTCTGAATTGCTACGTTGCTGTCTCCAACACCAGCAATACTAAGTACATTGGAGTAAACAAAATGGACTTCACCTTTGGTTGCAGCAGCTCATCGGAGACTGTGATGATAAACTCCCATTTGTGCCCTGTCATGCCTCCTTGTGACTTGTGCTACCTGCAAGAGCAAGATTTATTCTAACATAATTGGCCATGCCAATACTCCTCCTTTTGAAATAGAGGCATGCATAGAAGGGCTAGTTAGCCAGATTTAAAAACGCTTCCTTCTTAATTTGCCCTGGGAATATTTGTTTCTGGGCAATAGGCTGTTGAGAAACAAATTCAGATTATCGTTTGAGATTATATAAGAAGTCTCAAGATTTTACATATAGACTAGCAAAGAAACATAACATACTTTCCTGTGTATTTTTGTTAGCACGTCTATAAAAGATACATCATTCGGCTAATTTATACACATGTACATGTAATACAAATTTACCCAAGAGCTTCCTCTCCCGTACAGTCCTTCTGGTTCTGATCCTCTGATTGTCTCTGATTTTGTGTGACTTTTTCCGAGGGTACTGGTCACTTGAGGACTTGCTTCCAAGCACTGGTGCTTTTAGAGGCGGTGCACTTATGTGAGGTATATAGGGATTACATGTATGAAAATACGGTTGTTTTTTAACATACTAGTTAACATGATAACGCTATGAAAGCAAGCACAGAAACTAGTTGGAAGGCAAGTCTTCATGATGCTTGTGCTCCTTTTTACTTACTTCAGTGTGCATTTGTCTTTGTGCTTATATCCGTATCGGCAGGCAGAGCTAGGCCTTAATGAGCACCACCAGAATGAAGTGATCAACTACATGCGCTTTGCTCGTTTTAAGCGTGGCCTGTGTCTCAAAACAGTGGATTCTTGTTTTCAGGACCTTAAGGACAGCAGGTACCGTGGGGGGCAGTTCTGAGCAAGAATAAAGCAAAATATGCTAGCAACAATTGCAGGTTTAAATGCTTTATGGGGCGACTTTTC